AATTCATCGTGCCATATTCCCTCGTTTTGAAGACAATAGAGAGATTTAGAATCACGTTTACGGCAAAGGGCGAACGTCAAATTTGTCAAAATAGGAAATGAGCAGATGAAAACTGTTCAAAATAATTCTTGTTGATGAAACTTGTGTGAAAAAACTACTAATTTTCGTTAAGATTTATTAAACAGTCAACGATAAGAAAAGGGAAAACTTGGTCACCTGGTACAAATTCACGTTTGGCGTTTGGAGTAATCGTGATTCTAAATCTCTGTAATGTTGAAACAGTGCAAGTCTTTCGTCATGACAGGACGGGGTGAAGGGTTACGAACAGACCCAGGAAGCCCAGACATGGGCTGGTTTGCTTCACTCGGTCTCACGAACCGGAGGGCTGGCTCACAGGCAAAGATGGAACTCGAAGCATTCGTTAAGCAGTGCCGTAGCCAGACCAAACGGCCAACCGAGGCAGGCGGGAGTTGCTAGGGGGATTCGGGGGCATGCCCCCCCCCCCCGAGAAATTTTGAACTTTAGTCTCTCGGAAATGCGATTTGCAGCGTTTTCTGGGCCTTTCGGTAACTTTTTTTCGAGTTAATTTAAGTGGAATTTAAAAAGCAATAATCAAAAACAAGCTACATAATCTGGATGACCGTTAACCTCGCCAATGGTTTTGATCAGTATTTGTTCAAAAAAAATTTGAGTTAACGTACGTAGCCCCTTGAGATCGATGATATGGTAATTTTTTTTATAGTATTTTGACTGAATTGCTGAATTCTTTGTAATATCATGATGCGTTAAAAATATCCGATGATCGCTTATGTAAAATAAAAATGATCGGCGAAATTCGTCAAAATTTTACCGAGGCGAGTGCCTCGGTTGGCCTCATACTAGCTACGGCGCTGTTAAGTATTTCATTTTTGTCTTCTCTAATTCCCGAAGATTGTGACCCGAGTTCTCTCTTAAGAAGTTCTCTCTTTATATATAACAATGTAGTTACACAAGTAAGTAATTACAACAGTCTATAACTTAATTCACTGTCGCTGTGGCATCATACTGTAACATCGATGATTGCAACACGGTGAACTTTCTGACTGATAATGCGTTAAGTTTTAAAAATTTAGCGACGTCCACAGATTGAATGTGCGCTATGACTGGGAAGGGGTAGGTACGTAAAGGTTTGACGCGAAGTGTTCCTTGAGATATTCTCCCCTTTCTCGTCATACTCCTCCGTAGTAACACTGACTGTCCGTAGGTTGTTGCTGAGAGTCCTTGCCCATTTACGAGCACCGGGTTACCTGGATAAACGTGAGTAAAAAGGTTAGAAGAATTTTCAAAACGATAAAAGAACAACAATAACGTCAACATATTATTGAAATAATACGGTAGCCTGAGCACAGACGTCCCTTGTCAGCAAAAGGCATGAGCTGTCGAAGACCTTGATAGCACATTATCACTACACACGATTTGGATCCTTAGAGTCTCAAATGGTGGGATCACGTGACAGGGTTATGGAGAATGTGCGTCTGGAGAGAAAAATCACTTTGAAAGTTTCCCTTTTCAATTAATATCTTTTATAAGACTGAAGCGTTTTAAGGTGCATTTACCTAACGTTGCCTGTGTCAAATCTATTCTACCATTGTGTTGACAGGGGAGCAAAATAATCAACAAACCTGCCGTGAAAACTTTAAATGTAGATTGGAACGGTCGGATAGCAAGGAGCTCTCTCTCCAGATGTTCTTGAAAGTTGGGAATTGTGTATTTCCTTCTGTTACAAACACATTCTAGAATAAAAAACAGAAAAGCAAATACATGCGAGTACAGATTGTAGCATCGAATCACACCTGTTATCTCTAAGAAAAGTAGAGATATACAGAGCAGGCACCAGTACACGACGCTCATGGCTCCTACTTTCTTGGCAGCACTTTAAATCTAGTAACACTCACGCCGGAAGTAAACGAGTTCCGTTTTTTCCAAACAATACCAAATACTGAACCCAATTCACGGAAGTGCTATTACGCGGCCTTTTGCGCTCGAAGCCGACTCCTCCACGAACTTTGTGATTAGAATGGATACTCCAAAATCCGGTGGGACACCTCATCCCATTGCAAAGAACTGCATTAATTGGACACACATTTTGAGAAATTTGAAAGGATCAAATAGCATCAGTTGTGTAAGAAAAGGAGTTCAGTGTGGAATTCAGCACCCATCTACAGTGATAAGGATTACGCGTTGATTGAACAGTTAAGTGTGAAATATTGTAATAGGCAACGTAGGCCATATATGGGATAAAAATAAGCGGTTTCAATGAAAAACCTAATTTGGAGTATCCACTCTGGTTCTTCATTCTCTCTAGGATCGCATGTTTCAGATCGTTTTCATTTGGACTGAAGACAGTAAACTGATTATCGTAAAATAGCACCTTTCCCTTTAATTTCGGAAGTCGAAAGCAATGCTTAAACTGTTAAACGAACAATCAAAACTCAATGGGGACTACTGACGTCTAAGCTGGATAGGTAATGTTTAAAACTAGTAACAGTAAAGAGCTAAAAATTTCGTTATTCCACTCGTACCTGCACTAATGCTGTTTGTAAATCTGCCGAAAAGTGGTTAAGTATTAAATCAATAGTTTCCGCAATACCGGCTTGTTCAATACCAAGCATGGAAGGTTGATATACGATCTCAGGAACTCTGAGACAAAAAAAGACAAAAACAATAAGTAAACAGTTTTTCCTGCGTCAGTGGGGGAGTGAGACATAATTTTTCTGAAAACACGAAAATCCGCGGTGCAGCATGGCAACAAGGAATTTATCGGCATTCAAATGGGAAACTCAAATTACCACGGAATCAATGGACGCCTTTAATACAATGTATTTCAGGATGCCTGTGTTTCATGTTGACATGTTCCCACCAACAGCGTGGGTCCATCATATGGTATGTTGACCTCACATAACCCACAACCCCTTTAATTGCTCTGACGAAGGCTAGCCCTCCAAACGCCACAGCTTTGGAACTTTTACGGCGGCCCATTTTCTTTATTTTTAACTCAGGGGGATTTGACGACATAGGGGCATTTGACAGCTTATTCTGACCACAAAAAGGAACATTTGAAAGTCAAATTTTCCCCAGGGGCCGAACTGACCGGTACTTTAACAGCAGATAAAACTTAACGGGCAAGGTTTCGCGAACGTTTTGGCCAGTACTTTATCCCGATTAAATCTTCTAGTTTCTAGGCTTCCGTTTATTGGCAAAATGACAATAACATGACTGGCACCAAGGGAAATATTTAATGTTGTTTCCCGAAATTCTCGACGTTTCTCGAGGCGGAGCAGAGGAACTATTCCACTTGCGCTGTACGACAGACAACCGTAACTAGTTACCTTATTTTCTCGACACCAAGATGCAGCTGATAATATTCCTCCCAGTCAATAGCAGATTCTGGTTTGCCACCAAAACGTCTACAACAGCAAAGAGACACGAAAATAGTAATAATAATAAAAAATAGCTGAATCTAACATGAAACTACTTATTTTGGGGAAGACATAAACAATTAACGATAGCTAAAGCACAGAGCAAAAGCAAAAACTTGGCCAGGCGGAAAAAAACTAACGTTTGCCATTTGCTGAACACGTGATTTGAAAGTTCTCCGATAAACGGAAACAAACTTACACGCGACTTTGGCTTCTGTGTGCAAATGGACAATTGTAAACGGAAATTGTAGCAAATCCTAAGTAAACAATTCAGTAAATGGATAAATACTGTTTTCCAGTGGTCAGCAGTAAACGCCGCATTTACAAATTTGAACGCACTTGTGTTGACATAGTTTTTTTAGGCTCCTGTGAAAACAGGTAAGAAGCAATAATAATACGAAAAAAAAAAAACGCGCACAGTTTTCAGACCTAATTGGTAATAGGACATTCCCAAGTTGCCTCAAACCTCTGTTTCAAAGCGAGGCTAAAAACGAAGCTGTTGATATGAAAATGATTTTTTATTTTCACACCAGGAAAACTCGTTTTCACAAGAAAGGTTTGACACTTATCCTTAGTTTTGAAACTAGGAAATCGCCAATTTAGCCCCGTGACTTACTTTGAAAAGTCAGGATCGTGTTTCTTCAGTAAATTCTCCAGCTCGTTCAGTTCTTCCTGTTCTTTTTCACTGTCGGAATCACCAGCATCTTTGTTCTGCAAGAAAAGCAGATCAAGAATTGTCACTGGCACAGGGTCTTAAAGACCTTCACGAATTTAGTTATGGACTTGGAGTGAATGATGCTGAATCAAGAAAGGAAGACACAAACTTTCATGAGCTGTTCAATTACATTCTCCGAACACTACATTCATGGCAATAAGGAAGTACGAATTTTTTGGGGGGGTTGTTCAGAGAGGAAAGGAGGTTGAATTATTAAGAAGAAAGCAAATCAGTTCCCAGCATGCTACTAGCACTTTCTTTCAATGTCTCTTGGAAAGGAAATTGGTGTAAGAGATGATATGGAGTGGGAAGATCGCTCGCTTATACTGGCTAATGATAAAAGACAGGCAGTTAAAAGATCAACTTCTGGTGGCGAACAAAAGCTGCACTTCCACTTTCCAAAGACGGTTTTGGATACATTTTATGACATCATCTTCGATCCTATTCAAGACCTTCTCGTGGAAAGTGAACTTATATTCGTCCCCGAAGGTCCACTTTGCTTGACACCTTTCGCTGTATTTAAGGCTCCAAACTCCAAATACCTCTGTGAATCATTCAGAATTCGCGTGGCTCCATCTCTAACGAGCTTAAAAATGATTGATGATTGCCCGGTAGATTACCACTGTAGGCCTGGCGTGCATCTTGTGGGTGAACCATGGGTCCAAGGTGTGACAAAGCTACCAATTTTGCCATATGCCAGAGAGGAAGTAGAGGTGATTGGTAGACTGCTTGGCTGTGCGCCTCTAGTTTGAAGAGAGGCAACAAAAGTGGAGGTATTAAGACGACTTGGCTCGGTTGCTTTAGTACACATCGCGGCACATGGCTGCATGGAAACAGGCGAAATTGCCTTGGCGCCAGATAATGGTGAGATGGATTTCATTTTGACAATGAAAGATGTAAAGGGTGTTCAGATTCGTGCAAGACTGGTTGTACTCAGTTGCTGTCATATTGCTCATGGAGAGATCAAAGCAGAAGGTGTAGTTGGTATCGCACGAGCATTTTTGGGTGCTGGTGCTCGTTCTGTTCTGGTGTCGTTGTGGGCGATTGAGTTTATGAAAATTTTCTATCACCATCTTTTGAAAGGAGAAAGTGCAAGTGAAGCTTTAAACCAAGCAACGAACTACATGAGAGAATCTGAGGAGTTCGGTGCAGACAAATACTAGGCACCATTTGTGCTCATTGGCGATGACGTCACAATAGAATTCGCCGGACGCGAATGTATTTCCTGAAAGCATTGGTAACTCTATTCTTGAAAACACCTTAACACTTTACGAACATACTTTTGCACATTTTTTTAAACTATATTTTATTTTACAAATCAAATACTCCGTAATCCGAAAAGTGTCCAAAAACTGAACCTGGCATCTTCGCAGATGTGATGCGTGTACGAATGTAGGAAGTAGGGGGGGATGGGGGGTGGCAACGGCCCTCGATCTCGCCGCTTTTCGGCATTCCATGATCGCCCCAGTTAAGAGATCTGTCAATCATTCGAGAATTGCAGCGAGCATTCGCGAAACGGGCTGGGAACAACAACAAGAAGAATTCGTCTTCGCAGCGATTCGACAGTGTGAAGTAGGGAATTCGCTTTTGGTCCTGTTGGTCATTGATGAAGAACAGTTTATATTTTCAAGTGAAAGGCCCAAAATTAATTTTTCGTGATATTAAAAAAGTGTGGTGGCTGTGGTTGAGTAGAAGAGTTGTCAGAGTTGTTTACGGTTTTACTACACTTTTAAGACGACAAGAATTGATGATTGAGATTCTTAATTCTTTATCCTTGATTGTGAACTTATCCTGGTAGAGTTGCGTTGGATGATTGATTGGATTTGAAAAACTCCATAGGGTGCCTTGAAAAAAGAAAAAGTAAAATGAGTATTAAGATAATATTATTAAGTTTAGTTAGCAAACAGTTAAAAACTTGTGTTGAGGCAGGCAAAAACATTTATCAGAGACCATAAACCTTCACTTACTTTGCTGTTACAACTAGTGGTTAAAGGGTCTTAAAATGTGAGATCACCTCCCTGGGCTTACACTGTACGGGTACTAGGACACATTGTTCATTTCCCTACCCTTTTTAACCTAAGAGACCTTATTTTACAATCCTGATTCATTTCATTTAGCATACAGAATTAAGTTAGCTTTTAAACTTAGAAACATTGAAAAAACTTGGGAAAAAAAATGGTGGTACCAGAAATGTAACTATAGACTGCTCTTCATCAACCTTCACAGCCCAAACAGCCACCCTGTTCAAACGTCTAAAGGGTGAAATGGTCACCACTCTAAATCAGCAGCACATACCCATCTGGGCAAAATAAGCCAAGGGTAATATCGTAGAAAGAACTGCTTGAGGGGAGGTTGATAAAAAATCAATTTTAATTTACCTTGTTTATTTTAGTTGTAAATCAGATTCATAACTTACACAAACAATTGAAGTTGTACATTTTTCAAGCTCCTTCGGATTCTCTTCATAAACTTTGCAAAACATTCAATTTTCTTTTTTCTGTTTTTTTGTACCTCAGTCCTTTTAGGGATTTTCTCAATGCATACCCCTCTCTGATGTACTCACAGTCTTATTAGCAACTGGATTAGCCTTTTGTCCCCACACTAAACCAGTATCATCATTTCCAGTATAATTCAGAACTATTATTTATTATTTTTGTACAAAAAATTTCAAGGAAATACTTGAAACCGAAGTCACTATCTAATATAAACCTACTTAATACGGTATTGCTGTTGGAAATTTATTGATTATCACTCCAACGATATTTCAGTGAAGGTTTTGAAGGTTCAGTAAACCCCTCCCAGCCTTCTTATATTAAAAATAGCTTATGCTGACAGATCCAGTATATGTGAAGCAAAGTGATTGGAAAATTTACCCAGACTTTTTCTACATTGGCCCTGTATTCTGTATTTACGCCCATAAATTTTTGTTGTGGCTCCCGCTGTACAAAGAAACTTATGAACAGCGAAGTAGAAAATTGGTTTAATGAACATTCACATATGACTGTTGCAAGACTCATACTAATATAGTGTGCTCGTACCATATATTTAGGATAAGGAAGAGAGTCTTAATACCACTGTAAGTGGAAAACTATAAGACATGGAGCTTACCTTCACGAAGCTAATAAGTAAACTTGCCGAGATGCCGAATCACGATAAGTGAAGTCACCCATGAACTGTTCATATATTACGCCTCCTGACGTCCAAAAATTCCATTAAAAAAGTTCATGAAAACCTTTTCTTGATGTTTGGACGCGGGAAAACTTAACACCTGGTAAAAACTCATAGGCCTTCCATGTCTGCATTCTCCGCCATATTTGTTTTGAAGGAAAATTGGTACTCAGTCTCACTCAGCCAAATTTCTTAACGGGGACGATCATGTAAACTCGGTTCCAGACCTCGCTGCCAGCCCCCATGACGCAAATATTGCCCAGAATTTCTATTATTTGTGAACGGCTAAAAATGTCTAGATGACTGTTCCATTCATGTACAATTTTCAAACTTATCTAATAAATTCCCTAAGATTTCTTTAGTTAATTCACACATTCCACTCTCAAGGTTAGGCTATTTTTCGTATAGCGTGGAAAAAAGCAAAACTGAAATTTTCTGATTAAAAAATGTGATGGAGAGAGGAATCAAAAAATGTGTCACTTTCGTAATATGTTACATCCAAAATTTTCGGAAAAATAATACTGAAGCCCTTAATTGTACTTTCGAAAAGACTCAAGTTCTCCTAGGATGACCAAACGGATACAAATTCTATAGCGCCGCTTAGAATGTATATCTACAGATCTAAAATTACTCAGGACAGCCTAAAAAGTGTTTTCAATGTATTTAGGTGGAAACTGTCGTTGAATGCCCCTGGTTAGGCCTAGGTACAAATATCACGAAAAATCGCCTAAATATACTCCGGAAATTCCCGATTTTTTTCTAAATATCTCAATCGGAATTTTATTCTAAATATCTCGAAAAAGTTCTAAATATCTCAAAAATACCTGGCTTCATTTCATAAATATTACAGTACAGTAAAAACACAGAAATATAGCCTGTCATCTATAAAATGGCAACACAAATTTCAGCAAAAATTTTATTACTGTACAGCATACAACAAAACTCTAAACAATTTCGCATAAAGTCACCCGTATTTACAGTACCCCTTAGCCTCCAAGAAGACTAGGGTACTGCACTTTAATAAAGGCAGAGTGCGTGAAAGACCATTAGGTGCTGGAGGTCTAAAGTGGTCCAAAAGGGACACTACTGTCTGGTTTGTGCGTGACTCAGAGGGACGTCATCAGCCATTTTGTTGAACATTGGCCACATTGCATATATTTTATAAATGGAGAATATTGTTGAATCTGATTACAGCAGGCCCATATGTGGAGATTTGTTTGAATTTCTGTCACTGAAATGCCCATGCCCTAATTAGCATTGAAGTAACTTCCTAGAAAAAAAGAAACATGATGTCAGTACTTTTTCATGAGATTTTCTAAATATCTCAAAATCCTCTAAATATCTCAGGGTTAAAAAATATCCGGATATTTGTATCTAGGCCTACCCCTGGTGTGAGTTTCAAGTTATGGTTTAAATCTTGGTTTTAGTTGCCTAACGCGAAAAAGTAAGCATTGATGTAGGGAAAAGGGAAAAAGCCCTAATTACTTATGATAAGTATATTCTGCTAAGCCTCTTGTTTCTATTTTTATATTCGTCGTTCATCAGCTGAAAGCAAAATCTGTCAAATGAAAAGGATTTCGAATTCTCTTACTCAACTGGTTTTAAAAGCTACACTCAGGGTCTTCACTTCTACCATATTGTTCATCATTAGGGAAATCAACTTGTGGCATCTTGTTGAGGTAAGATCCGTCTAGTCCTGTTGCTTCATGAGGTACTAGTGGGGTTCATTGAGCAGAAAAGGAGATAAAACCTTCATGACTGAAACTTAATCAACCCTTAAAGCGAATAGTCAGTAATTATTGATCATGAGAATCCGACACCAATTGACCTTCTCACGGTTTATGACGCTGATGACGCCATCTTGGCTGGGGGGCAAACACGGCTAAAATTAGAGTTAACGCATGAGATTTTGGCCCACTCGGAACCACTATAACGCCGCTACAAAGAGGCGGATTTCCAACATTTGCCACTACTTTAAATAGTTTTATAGATATCATTCATTCAATAGAAAATAAGTCTACTTAAAGAAGGTACGACGTCCCGCGTAAATTCGAATTATAAATCTTCTCTTCTGGCTTCTATTTTCATGGTAACTTGCATAATGTTGATTATGAAATCTTAAAAATTCGTTTACGGTCGTTATAACCTGAATCTCTTCTTTATACTTCACGAAAATAATCCCAGTACAAATAATGTTTTTTAAAAGACATTTTCGCTGTGGAAATCCGCCTCATTGTAGCGGCGTTATGGCGGTTCCAAGTGGGCCAAAATCCCAGACATTCACTATAATTTTAGCTGTGTTTGCCCCACAGCCAGAGACTCTGTTTTAGCGAGAAATAGGAAACAGAACAGGAAACTAAAAAATGTATCCCTCGTCCTGACATAAAAATAGTTGCAGTCGTTTGACTGAAAAGAATGTGGCCGAAGGCGTCAAGAATGCTCGTAATAGCGTTGAGTCTCGCTTGCTTGAAGATGAGTTTTGTTGTTTGCTGGTGCTGTTATGTTACTTTTTCGTTTGGAATACCAATCGTGTGTTATATGTCATAATGTACTTAAAACGTAAAAATTGCAAGGAGAGACAGGCCGCACATCTCAGCTTCAGACCGGTGTGAAACTGATTTGGAAACCTTTTACATATAGATATTGGACCAGTGAGGAGAACTCGTTCATGGATTTTACACTCAAAAAATTGAACGATGGTTTTTATCAGTATAATTTCCATAGCTGCTTAGCATCTGCGTTTAATATCTCCGTACAGTTGGTGTTGACGCGATCTCAGAGTACAATGTTTAGAGCTGTGCATGAGCTGTAGCTCATTATCTCTTGATCATAGCCATCATTGGGATAAAGCGTTTCATTTTCCAGGAAAATTTCACTTTCTCGTCAAAATAATCACTGACTCAGTCAGACTCGGAGTAGTTTACTTAAATTTATAGTGCTCAGTACAGCGAACGGGGTTTTGTTCTGTGAAATTTGTCTACAGTCTGCGGCCCAC